CTTCCTCTCCCTCTCCCTCTCCCTTCCTCTCTGAAATTAATAGAAGTGTATTAAAAAAAAACCAAAAACCATCCTCAGCCATCTGCTCTCATTGAGAACTTCCCACTGGCCTCTGGCTCTTATAGCTGGAATAGCAGAGCTGTATCACTGAGAAGAGAAAAAGAAGTGGGTAACGAGAGAATTTTAAAAGCAGAAACGAAGACCCTCTCTGTAGAATCAACTTTCTTCTCTCTAGGCTTATGCGAAATCCTTGCAGATATATCTAAACATGGCCGTGATGCTTGTGCTATAAGCATTCTAGAATGGAGCCTCGTCTCAGAAGAACTAGAAAGACCTCTTTTTAAACCTGTTGCAAAGCCTATATCTGAGTAGGGTGTTGATGTGAAACTCAAAGGTGTCGTTTCGTCCTGTGTCCATGTATTTCAGCTTTCTGGATGAGGTCTAGAGGGAAAGATCTTTGTTCGTGTTCAACCTAGTGTCTTGCAAAGGTAATAAACTTACCTCTGAGAGTCAGTGAAAGAACCTTTAACTCCCCAAGAACACATTACCTCTCTTCCCTCCTCAAGTGAAGAGGCCCACAAAGGAGACTCTGCCATTTTCCCCCTGAGATTGTACCACAGCTGCCCATTCAGAAATCCTATGTTAACACCAAAAAGTGTCATGAAATTCTCCTTTGCCACCAAAAGAGAAGCCGCTGGGCAATATGAAGTCCTTTCTGGACCTTGAGAATTTTCATCTGCAAAATTGGGAGTTCAAACTAGATCATTTCCAAGGTTCTTTTCTGTTCCTAATTCCCACAATCCTAAAATCCTGCATTTGACTAGCTTCTCTATAACTGTTTGATGATGTCTAACAGGGTTAGGAAAACTCTGAGCGCATGCATTTAGAAAACAGTGTTTGCAGGTGTGGGTGGCTCTTAGGGAAACTGATGTAGGTACCATAGCTTTCAATCTGGCCACTGGTTCCAAATACTGCAGATGCGTTTTCTACATTTGAGCGATGCCAAAAGACACAGGATTTTATTTCCTAAAGACCTATTTTTAATTTCTTTTTCATACACCAGTTTTTGCACCTCACCCCCACGGAATTCACACGTTTTAAAAAAGAAGGTGTGCAACTTGAATCAAGTCCTTCCCCAATTTGTGGAAGTTTATACATTATAGGTGTTTGAGTGGTTGGCTTTTTTGTTGTTGTGGTTGTTAAAAAAAAAATTGTCAGAACACCTGTCAGAATTTTTAAGGAGCAATACATCTTTGCAAATAAATTGATGTTAAATTAATCTAGGCAATATTTATATAGGTCAACAATGTAGATGATGCTGATGATAACACCTATTTTAAGTAAAGTGTTCTCTATCTGTTCAGTCCTGTGCTAACTGCTTTATATGCATTGATTGATTTAATTTTCCCAAAACTTCCCCCAAATAGCATTGCCATCCCATCATAAATAAAAGAATGGACCCTTAGGAAGTTAAGCAACTTACCCAGATAACACAGTTCAGGAAAGGTGAATTCAAGAGTTAAATCCAAGTTGCTCCATTTTGTGTTTATTTAAAAAACAAACATGTCTGGATGCCTACTCTTTTCAAGACCCTGTATTCAATGGTGCTTCACAGTGTGACCTTGGATATGGAGTTTTAAAACCATTGCATCATTCTATCTCCCAGCTACCTGTGAGCACCCGTATTGGTGACTGCACATTTGTTTTCATCTTAGATTAATGGTTCCCAACCTTCTTTTGGGCATGCCCCACCTAACCATTCTAAAATCCTGATGCCCGCACCCCACCCCCCCATGACATATAATTCTTATTATTTAAAAAGTGAACTGCTATTCACATAGAGGAAGCCTAAAAGGCCATTAACTTGGTCTAAACAAGCTTCCAAAGAACATGGCATCCACAAGAGAAAAATAAAAGAATGAAAGGACAGTTGAAGTACTGAGAAAGAAATCACTAAGAAATTGTTAAAAATAATAATAATATGAAGTGATATGAAAAATAGCAAATAAAGTTTCAAAACATATAATAGAGAACTGAAATGCATAAATATGCCACAATATATATTTATATACTGTGTATGAGGCTCCTAGAACCATAAGAAATGCAAAAAATTCACTGTTAATAACTCATTCTTGAATGGCCCCCCTTAAATGGGCCTTGTTTGTTCAAATTGCCCCCCTGTGGGACATGTGCCCATGTTGGGAACCGCGGATCTAGATGAAGTTGGCAGTATATTCAGCTGGAAGGTTCGATTTAGTATGCACCTGTCAAGTAGCTTCTGTGAGGGGCTCTGTATTTAGTGCTGTGAACATATTAAAATTAGTAAGATGCTATTGATCTCCTCAGGCATCAAGGATGTTTGAAAAGACAAGATCATACATGACCTAAATACAAATTGGAAAAAAGAGAGAAATTAAAGGCCAAGATCTATAGTGATTTAAAAGCAGAGATACCTGGAAAGATTTTGGTCAGCTTTGAAGAGAGGACAGGCTTGTGATGGGCAGAAATGGGCAGTGTGGCTTCCCACACTGAGGGAAGAGCAAGAGAAAAACATGGAATTGGGAAATCTGGAGGAACAGAAGTCAGAGTTGGCCAGAGCAGAGTGAGATGTAAAGGAACACAAGAGATGAGCTTAGGAAAGGCCAAGGGGAACATTATGCAGGACTTTAAATGTAGTCTGGGGACTCTGAGTTTAAACGCATATGTGCTAGATGTACTAGGAAGATATTGAAGGGGACCAATCAGAACTGGACCTCAAGGAATGACACTGAACTGACTGCATAGGTCGAATAAGAATAGAAGATATGGAAGATAACTCACCAGTCCAAGGTTGGAAACAAAGTGAGACGTCAGGAAGTGATTGGGAGGCGAGAAAGGTAGAAGATGTGGACATCTCAGCACTACTGACGTGCTCCCCATTGGAGCCCTGAGGGTACATTCTGTTGAATGACATCCTTGGAGGTGGACAGTGTGCAGCCCTACCCATTGACTCTCAGGATTAGTCACTGCCTTGGAGGAAAGGCAGAATTTTCAGGGTGTGGTTGGTTGTAAAGAAGCACCAATATGACCCAGATGGGAAAGGAAGGCAACCACAGTTGTTGAGCTCACATTATGTGCCAGGCACTGTGCTTTATAGGAACTGTGTTCATTTAATCCTCCCCACAGCCTGACAAGGTAGGTATTAGCAGATCCATTGTAGGTGGAAATGGGTCTGATAATACCAGAAGTTGAATATGTCTAGTACTTTGCTCAAAAAAGCCCATATTAATTTAGCAAAGCCAAGATTATAATTTGGGTCTGTTTGACTCCATGTCTCATGCTTACTCCTGCAAATTAGGGAAAATTTACATTTTCTAGGAGTGGGTGCATGTTATACAGTATCACATCTTGGAGGGGAGAGTCACTCTAAGGATTTGGGAAGGTAAGTACGCTAGGCTGGGGGGTTGGGCGGGGGAGCTGTGAGAAGAGCAGGTCGTGGAGTGTATGGCTTTGTCTCAAGAAAGAAAACCAATGTAGGATGCTGGCATGAGGCCCCTAGGGTAGCACTGCCATAGAATATGGATAGGAAGGGAACTTAGAGGTGATGGGGCTCAATTCCCCCCACTGTGTGCTTGCTGCCCATTTAACTGTTTTCCATTTAGTAAGAATTTGGGGCCAAAGGAATGCTAAATGATTGCCCAAGTTACAGAGCTAACTGGCAGCAAAAATGGGATTAAAATCCAGGTCTCGTGGCTTAAAGGCAGAATTTTGTCCTCCACACCCCAGGGAGGGATGAGGACAGAGGATGGGATGGACAGCAAGACCAAGCAGGGTCATAGAACAGGCTCAGGGACAAACATGGAAGGTCTGCACCGTGCACAGCATACCATGGTATCTGGGGCCCTGACTCGGGGTCATAGGTCGGGCCTGGGTTTGGGCCATGGATTTTGTGCAGGGCCAACCTTCTCTGGGTTCTCTCTCTTTCTGCCTCACCAACACAATGGACTCTATTTTTTTCCATCTAATCAGGACACACCGCAGCTCACACCAACACCCCAAACAGCATTACTGCTGCCCAATTTACCTGTCATTTCCTAAGCCCAGCAGGTACAGGGCTGGCCTCTGGGAAGCTGTTTACCTGCAACATCAGTCATCTCAACAGCTGTAGGGAGCCAAGAGAAACTCTCTGAGAGGTGGGTTGGAAGGCAGGGTGACATGGGAGAGTGCCAGTCTCCATGAAGAGCAGCTTTCTGCCTCTGACCTCCCAGGCCCTGTCTCCTGGGACGTCAGCACTAGAGCAGCTGATTGTGGACCCGCTGGTTCAGTAAAATGGGAAGCTGTCTCCTTGGGCTCCATATGCCTGTTGAGAGAAAATAACAAGGAGACAGTAGAAAACCAG